AATTCTCTATCTGGACCTTATTTATCTCATTGTTTAGGAGAAACAATTAAAAGTGATCTCAATTCTGATCTTTCAATTGGGAGGTCATCTGAATGAACGGGTATGGAGTGGTTCTTTCCTGACCGCTCTGTACAAACACACAACATAGTTCCAGTAAGGAAGCAAGAGCAATCTCAACACAAACATTTTATCACTCATGATATTCAAAACAGCTGATTTTAATATTTCCATTGTATTTGGATAATTACGCGTTTAAGGTGTTTACATAACCTTCAGCAAAGCTATTGACAAGTTCACGCCTGTCCACTTGTGATATTAATGCATCTAATAATAAAAAATAATAAAAACCCTAATCACTACAATTTACTCAACTTTTGTTTAAAAGGACACCAAGCAAAGAAAGGGAAAAATAACCATGTTTTCTTAACTACCCAGAATATTTATACATGAATCTGTGCATATGAGAGTATGATTGGGAATATTGCATCATTACGGCTACAGTCAAATCGAAACACGACGTTCATCAGAAGCCTATTGTTCTGTAGTGGATATAGTCAGTGTGTGTAAAGGTTAAGCAAGCATTTGACAAATTTAGAAGAGAGAAACAGCTCTTGCTTTGATGAGGCACAAATCACCAGCTGACTGTTTTGACCAGATGATGCAATTTATTTTACACTGGCAACAAATCTTCAGATATTTTCTGACCAGAATTTTAGAAATCCTTTCTTAAAACCTTATCACTTGCTCAGTGAAACACCATGTAAACAAGTCACCTCATGACTGCAGAAAAGTTGAAAAAAATATATACACAAATCAAATTTCATAATATTCCTGTCATAAAATAAAGTTTCATCAGAACATCTGAATTGTTGCATTCTATAGTAGCGGACCCCAAATAAGCACTGTTTGGTGTATCGAGGAAGTTTTGAGAACTTCAGCATTTCCTAGCAGCAGGTTGAAGCTGTTTCTGTTGATTTCATCAATGTCTGAACATGATGATCTTGATAAGACGTTTTCTGCTGACAGCTGCCAGTTCACCTCATTGACATGTAACATCCAATTCAGCCACACGTAATGGCACACAAAAACATTACAGACGTACAATCCAGGCAAATTCATGAAAAGAAAAAAAAATTCATTCAATATCTCTAACCTTGACTTAAGTTCAATGTCATCAACAGAAAATCCCAAACTACTACACATACAGATCTGTATGCAGGGATTACCTGTACAACACACATTTATTCTTGCTCTAACATGTCTTTCTCAGTCTCTTTCGTTTTCATGAGTAGGGCTTTATTCCAGAGGGAAAAGCTGTAAATGAAAATAAAACTCTTCTGAAACTTTCTAAACGTATTTCTTTGTGGTCTGTTAAAGCATGGTGGAGATCAGACTTACCTGATATGGTGATTGAAGGTCTGGAGGGGAAGCTTGAACTGAGGGTACGAGAGCAGCTCGGTTGACTTGTATAAGTCAGATGTGTCTCTCTGTGTGAATAAAGAAGCCTGTTGCATTCCGCCTTTTCTCTTTCGCTCCCCCCTCCACCACCACTCACTCTACCTCCTCATTCGCTCTCTGGCGTTCTTGCCCTCCCTCTTTCAATCAAACGTTCTTTGCCACGCATGTCTTCTTTACAGCCGTTGTAGTTTTGTGTACAGTAAAGCGTCCCCCTGTTGTTGCCTACTACTTGTTGCTCTCTCTGCTTTTTCGCTCGTTCTCTGTCTTTCTCTCAGAAATCACGGAACTCTTTGATTCATAAATACAACCCTGGTCACGTGATGCGATACTTCAAATATACAGGGCTTTTTTTAGAAACCACAGAATGCCTTTAGGGCCAGAAAGCTTAAGTTTCCCTCTCTCTGCCCCCTCCACTGCTTCAGCTCTATCCTGCAACACGTCTCCTCCTATAGCATCTCTCCAGCCCCTCAGTTACCACCCGCCTTCTTCTGGGTGTCAGTTTCTACATCCTATTATCCTTCCATCTCCTTCCACGTTTGCTCGTCAAACTGCTTGCTCTGCTTTTCTCTTCCCCCTAATTATTTTCCCTCCATTTGCTCTCATGCCATCATGGTTTCTTTTGTCTATTGTCTTCCTTTAAGTCAGTTTTTTCATATCTTTCATGTTTCTACTAGATATTGTGGCTATTGTATTTCTCAACAAATCTCATGTCATTCTTTCCACTGAATTACACTCTTACAAATTAAGGTTCCAAATAGGGGTTTTTGCCATATAAAAACCATTGTGGGTTCCCCAAAGAACTTTTCAGTGAAACGGATTTTGTGAAATGTGATTTGAATAGGATTTCAAACCACTTATGAATGTATGAATGGTTCACATTTAATATAATCAGAGTCCAATCAAATATGTCAAATAATAATAATAATAATAAAAACCTTGACTTTTCTATGACTTCAGAAAACTGGAACATAACACAGTTGTAAGGATCATTTTTATGATAGTTATATAATGTTTTGCATTATTTTTGAACCATGGAGAATATTTAGATCTTCAACATCTAAAGTGTTCTACAGAAAATATAAAGTCTTGTTTTTGGAATGACATGAAAGTTAATACACTTTTTTATTTTGGTCAGAACTATTTCTTTAATTCTTGCTCTTGCATTTCATTGATGTTTTATAGGCATGCTAGAGTCCTAAATCCGCAATGAAAGCTAATAAACATGCAACCACACACATAAATGTTACCTTTATGTCATCACTCATGCACACACGGATGGTGCTCTGTGGGAATATCACAATCAATGTTTGTAAAGCAACTGTTTCCAGATAATGAACTCTATGATTGGCACTGGCCCTTTGAGAACACTGCAATCATGAAGCAGACTGTTCAGAGATCAGATAAAAAAAAAAAATTAACTATGCAACTCATTACAGTTACTGTAATAGTTGTTTAGTTGTATCTGGTGTTATTTCATGGACTTAAACTGACACAGATTAACAATGAATAGCTGTATTTTAATCAAGATTAATATAATAAATACTAGAACAAATGTGACGCTTGTTGTTAGTTAATGCATTACTAATGACACTTTATTGTAAAGTCTTACCTTTAAATTTCTACATGTACTAATAAGTATACAAATATATTATATGAAAAGTAAAAAAAAATGTTTTAGTAGAGTGATGTGAAAGCATAAAAAAAATAAAGAGGAAGAGAAAAGATGAAAATGCAATCAATTATTCAAGTCAAGTCACCTTTATTTATATAGCGCTTTTAACAATACAGATTGTGTCAAAGCAGCTTTACAGTATCAAAATAGGAAAACAGTGTGTCAATGCATAAGGACAATAGTAAACACTCAATTTTCATTGAATTCAGTGATGTCATCATCCAGCTCAGTTCAGTTTAAATAGTATCTGTGCAATCAAGTCGACGATATCGCTGGAAATTAAGTGTCCCCAACTAAGCAAGCCAGAGGTGACAGCGGCAAGGAACCAAAACTCCATCGGTGACAGAATGGAGAAAAAACCTTGGGAGAAACCAGGCTCAGTCGGCAGGCCAGTTCTCCTCCGGCCAGACGAACCAGCAGGTTGATCCATGCTGCAGCAAAGTTAGATTGTGAAGAGGGCTCATCTGGTTCCGTGGTCTT